TCTCTCTCTCTCTCAATTCCTTTCTCCGCTTCTATCTGCCACCTCCTGTTCCCTCACCATTTTTCACTGCCATAACCTTGCTCTCTGCAATGAACGGCAGGCAGTGACTGCAGCCAGGGAAGACCCATTACTCCTTCTTCACCAAACTATTGTCGCTTGCTCGTGAGTCTGTATTAAAACCCGTTTCTCTCTTTTCCTGTGCAACTGAGGTTCTCATCACCTTTGTATTTAATAGGTTAGGTGGTCCCCCCCCACCCCCGCCCCCGTCCTCTCACTCAATCTCCCTCAATTACCCTAATCCCCTTTCTCTCATTTCCTTTGATCTGTGTAACTCCTGTTATCCCTAAATAAACCTTATTAGTACATACTCGTGTTTTGTCTTTCATACCTCATCCCTTGTCTCTAAAACCTTGCACCACTCACTTCAGGGCCTTAACCTGTGATAGAGTGCAATGCTTTTGCTCTCCTTCATGATAACAGTATTTCATTTATTTAATGGCGATTAATTCCTGGTGTGTGATGGAAACTTCCCCCATAACTACCTTCCATCCCAAATCCATAAAGGAGGTTGGTCCTGTCCTTCTCTAATGCTGCCCTATTACTTTCAATCATTCACTGAAAGTGCAACCTTCCTTCTCATTGTAGATATATTGGTGTGATCATGTTATTAATTTCATTTCCCTTCACTACTCTCTTGGCCATCCACAAAGGCAGGGACCACAACTGCTCCATTCAACTCCATCTCTTCGTTGCCTGCTAAAACCACCGAGGCAAGATTAAAATGCTTAAGCACTTAGGAATAAACAGCGGTAAGAATGACTCATTGATGAGGAGATGAATAATGCGAAATGTGCCCAAAAGATTAATAGTCTGGTTGCGGTAGAGAATGTTGAGCAGTTTGACAAAGGATTATATGCAAGACCCAAGACAAGGAATTACAGAGAACTCTCTGTGGTGGGTCACATGGGCCAGGATCCACCAGTATGTCTAACAGTGTGCAGAATCCAATCCGGAACATTCCTTGAAAGAACAAGGCACTTGGCACATAGCCATTGGCTCCCCTTCTCCAATGATGGAGGTTTTCCCAGAGGTTCTTAGATTCTTCATGGTTTGGGGGGTGCTCTTCTTTCTGATAAAATTTTGACATCGAAGCATGGAGAGACACTTGGTGTTCTTGAGATTGGAAACCGTCTGAATGATCCCGCCACCCACCAACGACCAAACTTGGTGCCATCAAATCAATGCCGACTCCTAGGGAGCCCCTGTGGGTTTCCGAGACTGTAACTGTTTACGGCAGTGGAAAGACCGTCTTTCTCCCACAGAGCTGTTCGTGGTTTTTAATTGCCAACCATTCAGATCGCAGCCCAATGTGTAACCACTGAACCACCAGGGCACCCTCAGACCTACAGTAGTGTCAATTGTATCAGTGTGGTGTCAGTGGTGAGCCAACGGAATGGGAAATGGGATGTGACAGGCCTATGATAAAACACCCACATTCAATTGGTTTACTACAGTTTAGGGCTATATGATTCCTAGCAAAATTCCCCTACTCTGCCTTCACATCTGTGAGACTACATTTAGTCCTCATTCTCTTGGTCCCTTCTACCTCAGCCTCTTTCCCCTCACATTCAGCATTTCAGTGCTAAAATTAAAATCTCTCCTCACTGTTAAAGAAAACAGAACTGAAAGATGAGTAGTCATGACCTAGAATAGATCATAATTTCAGATCGGCTCGGCCCACACCACAAGAGGTCTGGTGCTTACCAAGAGTTGACACTGTCAACAAGGAACAGCTTAAATATGTAGTCGTTTGAAGGTCTCTGAGGACATAGAAAGTGGGCATGGGTTGTTTTCCTAGACCTTTCTATCCATCGCGCGACTTCAGATAAGAAGGTCCCACATCAGAGGAGGCTAGTTTGCAGATGGACTGTTCTAGGAGGCCAAGGGAATGAAAACATCAAACCAAAGGGCATCCTCAACTAGCA